CTTTCTTCTTTTTCTCTTCTAACCATCCCGATCCCTCCCTCAATAGTTCGTGGAACCCTCCATACAATCACAGGTTCTGCAAGCCTCATCAGATGATTTCTTTTCTCTTGTTTCTGGGCTATGAAAGAAAACAATGAACTGTGCAGACCCATGACCACATGCTGTATGTACTGTGCAAAGTGGAAATAATTGACTTTTCTGGAGTAGTTGGCATTGGTTGGTATTCACCCTTTTTGAAAACCTTTCCTTCCCTGGTTTTTAGTTCTCTTCCTGGCTACACCTTACTTCTCTCTGCAGTGGTTCACCTTTCTCTGTCCACTCCTCATTTAGCAGGCAATCCCCAGAATTTTGTCTTTGGGTCTCCTCTCTTCAAGACAAAATTCAAAAGCTGTGAAGCACACATTTACCTTTATAGCTTCTATTGACCCTTTAAATGCAAATTATTCCCAAATGACTTTCACTAGTAGTAACTCCTCTCCAGAATTCTAGAAGTAAATATACAATGTCTCACTAAACACATGAAGCTGGATGTCCTAGGTACATCTTAAACTTAACATGTCCCCAAGCAAATGCTGCTTCTCCCCTGATCCAAGATCTGGACTATCTCCTTTATTCTTTCTTGTTTTTTCAGTGTCTTCTTTTCACTATTTTGCAGAAGAATGTCCAACACAAAACATGATTGCAAATATTTGGCTGTGCAAAAGAGGAGATTGTGCTCAAATACAAATGGGAGACATGATTTTTTTAAAAAATAAAAATTTAAACACAATTTGGGTTCTGCAAGCTCCTGGGCTATGGGTCTGTTTGAAGGAACTGCCTCATTTGTGGGCCCATGTGATGTCATAATTACCCCAGGAATCGATGCATGGATTTAGGGTGCCAATGTTGAATATGACCATTGTGAACCCCTTTTCTAAAGCCTTCCCTAGCCCTCTACAGATATACTATGGCCAGGACAGAGACAATGACATTTCTCAAAGGTCAGTGGTCTGTAACAGTTAAGTATGCTACATGATTCTCTTGGTTTCCATTTTTAGTGAGGAAACACACTTAATCTTCTTCATTTTCACATATAGGACTGGCCTAAAAGCTCTCCGCATATCTCTGAGAACATTAGACCATGCACTCTTAAAGAAGGCCTTCCCCTTTCCTCTTCGAAAATCTTCCTTCCTTCAGCAATTGAGGGTTCCCATGTGCAGTATTTTGGCTCCTTTGTGTCTGCACAGGGCCCAAGGGGTAGAAGACCATTTTGGCCACAACCATCACAGTCTGGCAATCATCTGGCTCACCATGATATGGTGGTCTTGAAGTCAGGGAACACGCCTTAGGCCTTCTTGCTGCCCAGAAAAGGATGATGCCCTGCACAGAGATGCTGAAGCCCTGGTACAGGACCCAGATCTCATCAGACTTACTTGTCTTCACCAGTCTCCCAAGTGTTTGAACTTGAATCCCAGGTTTGTATACGATTTCCCAACACTGACCACCAGATGGGTTCTGGCAAAATCCAGTGAGTACACAAAGTAGAGACAGGTGGCTCTGGCTGTCTTGCTCGAGGCCAGATTGTGGGCAAAACAACACTAGAACTGCATGTGTTGATCCATACTCCCAGGAATAGCCGTGTCTACTTATCCTTGAATGTGAAGATGAGGGCTTGCTTAAGGAAGTAGTCCACAATGCCTGTGCACTGCTGTCAGCTGTCATCTGCTTCCTGGCACCTTGCATCTGCTATTGCAGCTTCACCTGCTCAATCAGGGCCACAAATATCTTGGTGATGGCAACAGCAATGCCACCAGCCAGATGGTCCTTGGCAGAGGAGATGGCTTGTTTGTGTCATGGTTGCAGAGCAGGAAGCTGAGCACATGGACAACTGAGAGGATTGGTGTTGCTGGCTCAGCCCTGTCACTGCCGGACTGAGAGGCCTACCCCTTTTATTCTTGATCAGGGTTAATGGCATCAGTATGTACCTGTCTCCCAACTTAGAAAGCTTGGTGTTATTCTCACCTTCTTTCTCTTACCTTCCACGTATAGTCAGCTGCCAAATCTTGCTCTTCTAATTTTAAAACATCATTTGATTCTGTCTCTCCCAAACCCTATGCTACTTACTTAAAATAGGCCTTCACCATATCTTCTCTGGACTATTATTGCGACAGCCCTGTAATCTTTTCCCTTGAAACAAGTTATCCATACTGCCACTGTAGTTACTGAGGAGAAAGCTTATAAAGTCATTTTTCCATGTAAAAACTTCTATTAGTACTATAAACCCATGAGGTTCAAACTCTGTTGCTTGGCTACAAAGCTCTTAACCCTCTGATGGCAATCTACCTCTCCATCTTGTTTCCTTTCCTGCCTTCATGTTCTCTGAATACGTTCTAGGTTTCTTGGGCCTCATATATTCACTACTTCTAGCATATAACCCTGAACTTTCAGAAGTCCATATGTGTTTTTTAAAGTGATTCCTTTTTCTCCACTCCACCCCCATTCACTTGAAAAATTCCCCCATCTGTTAAAAGCCAAGTTTAAGCATCACCTCCTCCGTGAAACTTTCCCAGATTGATTTTCCCAGGATACTGGATATTGTGTTCCTTTTGCTCCCAGAACACTTTATATTTGCTATAGACTTTACAGTGTAGTTCTTTTCTATTTACATATTTATATCTCACAGTAGACTGTAAGCTTCTGATTATTAGTGTACTAGATAGAAGTTGTTTAATAAATATTGGTGAATAAATGCAATGCTGTTTTCTTCCCAAGATGTTTTGGGGACTAGTCTCTTTCTTTTTACTATAGCCTTAAAATACAATCAACTCAAATTTACATTTTAATAGCCTCTAAGCTGACCATCTAGAACAACACTATTCGTTAATGATCCACTAGACTCATGTGGCCGCTGAACAGTTGAAATTCAGCTACTCCATGCTGGGCACAGTAGCTCAACCCTGTAATCCCAGCACTTTGGGGAGGCCAAGGAGGAAGGATAGCTTGAGGCTAGGAATTCAAGACCATGCTGGCTCCCATTGTGAGACCCCATAGACCAGCATGGTCTTGAACTCCTAGCCTCATTTTTTTTTTTGATAAGTTTTAAATTAAAAAATAAATTCAGCTACTCCAAAATGAAATGAGCTGTTAAGTGTAATACAGCATTTTGAAGACAGTATGAAAACAAGAATGCAAAATATCCCACTAATTTTTTATATCACATCTTAAAAAATATTTTGGATACATTGAGTTAAATAAAATGAATTACTAAAATGAATTTTATGTTTCTTTTTCTATTTTTAAATGTGGCTACCGTATTATTTAAAGTTATACATGTGGCATTCAAGTATTTCTACTGGACATGATTGGGACCCTTCAAGCCATCCTGAAGGTCATTTTTTGGTGATAAATTTGTATTCCATTTTTCTGAGTCCTTACAGTGCTGAACAGAGTTTTTGTAGGGAAGAGAGGTACTCAAAAAATGGTGTTGTTTACTGGTTACTGAAGGACTAACTTTACCAAAAGATACTTTTTATTGTGCTACTACCCTACTTGAAGAATCTACAGGTTTTCTACTGTCAATTGCATCAAGGCCATATTACTTTGTCTGGCTTCCCAAGTCTTCCATAATTGTATCATAGTTTATTTATGCAGCCTTATCTCTCACTCCATCCTAAGTAGTACCCTTTGTTCCAGTCTATTTTCCAAGGTACTTGAACTCTTTATGCTTTTGTGATGCTGCTCTTTCTTAATATCTCCCTCCCCAGTCCCCATCTAAATCAAGCCTATTTTCAGGACAAGGCTCATAAATTCTACCTCCCACATAATGTTTTTTTTCTGTTTATTGGAACTCACCCTGATATCTCCCTAGTTGTTATTTGTCAGAGCTATGCAGTTTAAGCTCTAATTTGTTTAATTACTGAGCATCTTCATTGCCATATCCATTCAATTTAATCTCACAAACATTTTTGGGCCCCTGTGCCAAGAACAGGGCTAGGTAGCAATGAGGATCAATTTTATGCAGGGCCAGCGGCCAGAAATTGGCCTTACTAAAAAGTGTAACACCGACTCTTGCTCATCACCTTTCTTAGCATCTGCCTCACCGCAGGCAAGGACTGTGTTTATTACGCTTGCATAAGCCCCATATTAGAACTTCCTCATAATATACAACAAGCCAAATCATTTAAACTGCCTCACCCAGAGTGCAAACCTCATGAGCCTGGATTAGGGTCTGGGATCCAAGCAAAAGTGTTTTCCTTTAGTTCTCTTTCTCTTGGATTAAGGATCACTATTTACACAGCTTCTTGTTAAAGTATTACCGCCTAGTATTTGGCTTCCTGGTCACACTTTTGCCCCTTATGGAAGGGCTTACTGCCAGGCGTTTTAGACTGGAGCCAGACTGCTTTGGATTGAATCTCAACTCCTTCACTGAGTAGCTCTGTAATCTGGACAGGTTACTTAACTCCTCTATGCCTCAGCTTCCTCCTCTGTGTACTGAGGATAACAATATCATAAGGTTGGCGAAAGGGTTAAACGAGCTAATAGTTCTTATAAGAGAGTAATCACTCAATAAAATGTAATCACTCAATAAAATGTTATCCCTTAATGCATGTCACTACTAGATTATTTCTTGCCCTCAAAATGTAAGAGACCGTTTTTCCTCTTTTATTCCATTGTCTCCAGTTTCTAAACTACAAGCGAATAAACCTCAAATGAATAAATGAACACACCCAGTCGCTAGAACTGATGCATTTCCAATGTTGTGCCAGCAAGAGGAAAGGCAAAAGGGCAGGTGAAAGTGCCTCCTTGTAAAAGGTCTTCCATTACCGGGTTTTACTCGAGCCCCTCGGGGACCATCACATCTCAAAAGCGGGGGAAACCCGCACGAGGCTTTCCGGAATCACCTTGGGCAGAAGGCCCTTTTGCGGAAAGACCCGGCAGGCCAGGCTCCGCGCGTTCCGCGCACGCGCAGTGCGCCCAGCGCCCGGGTTTCTTCCTCCGCGCCACCCGGAAGCCTCGACGCGTCCTGGTCTCCCTCCCCCTCCCCTCTCCGGCTCTAGCGGTGCGTGCTGGCCGGCCGGGCGAGGAGGCGGGACACGTCGGCGCTGCCACCGCCGCCGCCGCTTGCTGCCCCTCCTCCTGTTCCAGCTGCCGCCGCCGCCGCCGCCGCCGCTGCCGCTGCCGCTTCCTGGGCTGAGTCTGCCCGCGGTCCGGGCGGCGCCAGGTGCGTTCACTCTGCCCGGCTTCAGCCAGCGTCCGCCGCCGCTGTAGCTTTCCCGGTCTTCCCGCCCCGCTGCCGAGATGGCGACGCGCTCCTGCCGGGAAAAGGCTCAGAAGCTGAACGAGCAGCACCAGCTCATCCTCTCCAAGCTTCTGAGGGAGGAGGACAACAAGTACTGCGCCGACTGTGAGGCCAAAGGTAGTTCGGGCGTCGTTGCTGCCCTCGGTCGGGGCCTCCTGCGACCGGTGACCTTCCCGCCGCTGCGGCGCTCGGGGCCGAGCGGATGCCTCGGCTTCGCCGGCCGGCCCCGGCCCTGACGGGAGGGCGGGTGGCTGAGCGGGCGGGTGCCGGGCTGCTGTCGACCCTCAAGTCCGCCAGAGGCGGCGGCGAGGTCAGGCCCGCAGGCCCTGTGGCCCCAGCCCCTTCTCCTCCCAGCCCCCGAGTTGAGCAGGTGTCCGCCGTCGCGATGCTCGGACCCTCTACAGGGCTGGGGATAGGAACGCGGCTGGGAGCGCGGCATCCGGCGCCGGTCTGGGCAGAGCTTAGGGTTAGAGAGTTGCCCTCCTAGCTCTGCTCAGAGCTATCTCTGTGGGTGGGGCCGCCCTTAGGTCTCGATCCTTTCCACTACCCTTCGGTGTGACCCCGTCGTCCCTCTCCGGGCTCGGATTCTTGGTCTCCCAGACCGAGCCCTACCTGCCTGCCCACCTGACAGCTTTTGTACAGGGCTCTTGTTTCTGCTTATTGAAAACGAGTGTGGTGGTCTTTTTCGGTGGATTTGAGTTTTACAGAGTAAATTAATTGGAGAAAGGTCTTTAAGAGTAGTAGGATTGTTTTTTAAATCTGTTTATTGCTAGAATGAAGAGGAATTTCATTACATGAGTCTTTTGGAGGACAGTGGGTTTATATTTCTGAAGATTTTAGTAATTAGGTTTTCTCTGACCAGCCAATTTGGGAGAATATGTGGACACTGATTTGTGCAGCTCATAATGTTGAAGGTTCATTTTAAAGATCTAGAGTTGGAAAAGACCTAATTTTAGTTTGTTCAGTTGGAGGGCTTCTGCCTCAGCCTTTGAAATAGATATACTATTTTTAGCTGCTATGTTTTGTGTTTGGAGATCTGATTTATGTTTAATGTCTTGTAAGTAATCTCATGGGAAACGTATTTCTGATTTTTTTTTAAAAAATAAATGTCTCATGTATTTAAGAAAAGATCGTGTGTATTTTTAATTGGTTTATTTCGTTATTGGGTGAGAAATAGGGTAGTTCTCCAAAGCACGAGACAGTCTCTTTGGGGGAATGTCATTTAAGATTTCTGTGTTACTTGACTTAGACTTTTCTGACGCTTTACTGTTCATTCTCAATACTATATAAATGAGTCACATTTCAGTAAGCTGATAATATTTGACTAGACTGAGCTACACAGCATCAGCAAGTTACTTCACTGTCATAACAGGTACTGAATTACTGGAAGAATCATGTGGGAATACTGTAACTAGATTATTTTTATGAAGCACTTTCCAATATAGTAACTTGATTGAGTCAAAATTATAATTATCCTATGTAACCTTTTCAGGTGATGAGTTTTTACAAAGTGCATGTCTGGTTCTTGTAGTAGTATTTGTTTTCCTGATAATTTGATTGTGTGTGGTTATTGGGGAGTTCTGTACAGTATTGAGGCTCAGTTGCTTGATCTTCATTGACTGCACTAGTGAAACACTGAAAAATGGTCCTTTAAAAGGCCTGAAAGAAAGGAGCTGAAATTAAATAGTACACATTTTGTCATTTTGAGTAATAACATGGTTAAGTAAAATGGTGGTAAATATTAAATCTGTTCATTGAACGAATAGTAACAGTTTCAGAATTAACCTTCATCTATAGACATTATTAGAAAATAATTTAATTTTTGTTGAAATTTCTGTCCCTAAAAAAGTACTTCATAAAATCAGATTTACTAATGCTTTCTAAAATCCAGATTTTTAAAAGCCATTATTAACCATGTTAACATTTTTTTTTCAATTTACTTTTTAGGGTGGGGAGAAGAGAATCATGTGCTTCTTGAATTAGAATAAAAAGTTTTACTTCTTTGGACCTGAAGAATAGGAAGTATTTGTTTTGCTCAGTGTTTGTATTGCCACGGAAATCAGTAGATATGTATTGAATGAATGAATGTCTTTTGTATTTTGATTTTGTCTGGCCTTTTGTTGGTTTGTTTTTGAGAAGTGAAGAAGTGGGAGAAAAGAGAATGGTATTAAGAGTACAACGATGCAGCCTGAAGGGCATGAACTCCAGGTTCATGATTTACAAGGATGATTTTTTTCTTGTTACTAAATCTAGATTAATATTAAAATGATCTTGTAAATTATTTTATCTTGATCTTTCAGGCAAAAAAATCACAGGCAAGGCCACTTATTGGTTTAATTAGACTTGATTTCCTAGTTGTAATTGAAAATTGACATGATAGAGCAATTGATTTAAATATATTTTTGCAGTTTTTGAGTTTTTGGTAAGGTTGAACTACACTATGGAGGCTTTTTATAGTAGAATTCTTGGCTTGTTACATGATTTTGGATCTATATGCTAGGATAAAATTATAAATATACTACTTTTAAAAGATATGTTAAGGGTATTTCTCTACAGCTCAGTTACTAAGAAGTTTCATTCTGTGTATGTGTTGATGTTTTCTTCACTGCCTAGTAAATTGCATAAAGCTTTTCATGTGCTATATTTCAAAGTTATTTCCTAGTTAACTCAATTTTCTTTCTTTCAAAGAATGCTTCTCTCACTGAACTTTGAGAATATGTACCAAAATTAAAGCTTAGGATTTGAGGTGCCGACATTCTCTTGCCTTGTAATAGTTGGTAGTGGTATGTCAATTGGGTTTTGACATTTTCTTACTGAATCACCTACTTGTGTTTCCTGGATTGACAGTATTTAGGAAGAAAGGGAGGAGAAAAGGATGGCAGAGGTGCCAGTTTCCTGCTCTTGATCCTGCTCTTACCAAATCTGTTGAACAACTGGAGAATTTAAGAACAGGCAGATGGAACTACTCCTCTTCTCTCCTGGCTGCATTCATGACTCGGAGTTTAAAGCAGCTTTGTTGGTTATTAGTTGGTGGCACTTTAGGGAGCAGTGAGGACTGAGAATGCCTTTCCAGTTTTAAGTTTAGTTTTTAGTATTTAATGTGTCATCCGCAGGTAATGCTAGCTTTTTTTTTTTTTTTTTTTTTTTTTTTTACACTTCTCTGTTTTTTCACATGCTTGGACTAGGGCGCCATGCTGGACATCAAGAGTGGCCTGAACTTCGCAGGGTAGGGCTCCTAGAAAACAGTGCTGGGCTTGGCAGGCACCACATTGACATGTCCCATGCTTGTTAATGTATATTTCTGAGATTTAAAAAATGCGTAAAGGTAAAATTCACATTGGGCAGTTTTCTTCCCACTGTCCCCTCTCACCAGCCACTGGCAGACACCATTGCATGTTCTGTCTCTGTGGGTTTGCCAGTTGTGGATATTTAATATAATACAACATGTGGACTTTTGTTTCTGACTTTCACTTCATGTTTTCAAAGTTCATTCATTTTATAGCATGTGTCGGTACCTCATTCCTTTAATGGCTGAATAATATTCCATTGTATGGATAGACCACAATTTGTCCATCTGTTGATGAACATTTGGTCTGTTTCCACCTTTTGCTAGCTTTGATTTTGAGCACGTTTAAATTGGTATGAAAGTGGGTCTCTTGCCCAGGCAATTTTGGGTAGTCAGAAACACAACGTTTTTTAACTCTAGAGATTGTTTTGTTCAGCCTGTCTGATATTGAGAGGGTAAGCTCTTTGCTCAGATCAAACACTTGTTTCTTCATTCTGCAGATCTTGACTTGAAGGCACACTGTTAGGTATTATATTAGGTAAGAGAGCTAAAAAAAAAAAAAAAATTGTTAAGACCTAAAGGAGTTTGTTTAGTATGGTTTTTTGTTTTTTGTTTTTTGTTTTTTTCAAACAAATCATTCTTAAACAATGTGCTAAGTGCTTGTAGTAATGGTTGTAAGAAATAACTTCTCTACACTAATTTTCAGCTGTTGTTCACCTTGCACCTTGACTTTTGCCCATTGGTGGCCTTTACAGTTCCCAGAATGCTGTCTAAAGACCTTTGCACGTGCTGTTCTTCTGCCTGGGAAGTTTTGTAACAGTTTTTTTACTTCCTCAGCTTTTGCTCATCTCTCAGTTCCTGCTTAAGTGTCTTTTCAAGGGAAAGAATTTTCTTGATCCTCTGAGATTAGGTTAGGCTTCCCTTTATATGTAAAAGACAGCACCCTGAATCATTTATTGTACTTACCACAATTGTAATTAAGCATTATTTAGGTACTTATGGGGTACCCTATATCTCTGTTGGATTATAGCTGCAAGAGAGAAGAGATCTTATTTATCTTGTTTGGGGTAGTATCCCCAGCTCTCAGGACATGTGGTAGGTAAATGTAACTTAGCAAGGGTTTTTTGAATGAATGTGTGAATGAGCACAGAGCCCCTGGCAGGCAGCAGGGTGTGTGTGAAAGGGAGTGCACCTGTGAAAGGGAGTGGCATGTGGAGTGACCTTGTTGGGAGAGTCACAAAGGAGTCTTCTTCATTTGAGCTAAGTTCTAAAGGTGGAGTGGGATTCCATCAGGTAGAGAAGGCATTAAAGGTCACAGCTGTACACACAAACGTACAGGTATGAAATAACAGAAGTAGTTTTATATGGCCCTTACTGGATAAGCTTTCTTTAAGCATGATCAGTTTTGGTGGTCCCAGGTCAGAAGAAGAACTGGGGTAGTGAGGATTGCAGGCAAATCCTGAGTAAGGAGATGTTGAACAGTGTTCAGGAAAAGGATAAGAGAACCTAAATTCATACAGTGTTAATGTGTAACCCAGGGTGTAGAGCAGGAAACAGATCCACTGTAGCCATTTTCAGGAATCAGGTACTTACCAAGTCGTTGGAAGGGCTGGAAGAGGGAAAGTCAGGGAGTCAGTACTGAACTTCTGCTCTCAAGGCCACACATAAGGCCACTGCTTCCCATGCTCCACTGTCATAGCTGCTTCTTACCCATGAAACTGGCACGATGATGGGGAAATAAGGCCTATGGTGCTGCAACCACTTAGTGTCTGTAGAGATTTTTTTGTTAGTTTCCCTTTCTGTAGGAATGTGGCCTCTGCCCCACTCGTGT